TTTTCTTGTATATAAATTGATAGGTTATGTCGATTTGACGGTAACGGTAGACGAGAAGACCTTTTTCTACACCCGGATGTATATACGTATGCATTTACACTAATAATGATAATCCAATTCTTGTGATTCTTCTTGGAAGTAGTTTTTAATGATTTTTTTTGTTCACAGAATCGCCGGAAAGCCGCCGAGAATTTGATGTATGGGTACCACAGGTGGAGCTCGTGGAGAAAATGCCGGATCTGTTGGACACGGAGGAGAATATAATGATAATCAAGTGGAATAACAATAGACTGATCTGGGACTCCAGCAAATTAGTCACCCTTTCCATATGGGGCTATCAGGAGAAGACGGACTCCCTGTACCCGACCCTCAAATGGGTGGCCGATATCGTGCGAGGAATACCTAATAGCGGCGAATATGCCCTCAATTTGAATGATTTACCGGAAATACAGTTAGATCGATATGACTATCACTTTGGGTTCATTGGTGTCAATCAGACCGATGAGGAGTTCACTATCACTCAGTGGAGTAAACCCATGCCATTGGGTAACAGCCCTCCCTTTCCCACAAAATTTTGTTGACTTATGTCTTAAATGTCTGAACCCATGAAAGGTTGGTTTTTTCGGAAATACTGGCGCCGGGAGTACGGATCCAAATGGAATGAGCGGTTCTGTATGGACTGGTTTGAGAGGGAGTCCCAGGAGGACCGGTTCGCCATCACACTGTTTCGGTGCCCCTGTACTATGGCTCAGTCCGAGCTGGACAGGGGTCGCTTCAGTCCCGACCAACAGTGCAATGTCATCGACAAGAAGTGCGACGCCCGACACCACGGCGCCCAACACTGTGTCCGCACATCCCGGCCCTCGTCAGTCACCGCAAGACTTCGTGTTTTAATTACGAGACTTGTTATGAAAACTTGTATTTTTGTGTTTTGTATAGAATTGGCGGTTCCGGACAGCAGTGCTGTTACGATGATTACGGAGAACTCATACAGAGCGCCGACACCATGTATGGGGGCAGACCTTCGCGAGCGTTTGTTTACGGCAAACACCCGTTTAAGATGCGAATGATGGTAAGGGGTGGTTGTCCTGATGAGTTTAAATGTATTAATTTGAATGTCTAATTGAATGCTAATTGTCCCAAATGTATGTGCGGGTAGACCCCAACCCTATCCTTCTGGCAGTTCGATATAATGCCGTTCTTTTATTGCTGCAAATGGGCCCCAAAGGAGGACAACAGCCACACCTGTCAGATGTTTAACTACTGGCGCACATCGCAAGACTGTTCCTCATACCAGCCCCCGGCCATTGGTATTCAACTTAATTTATCACTTGTTTTAACTTATTTAACGTAAAAACACTTATTTTGACGATTAATAGCCTCCATCTTCGGTGACCCCCACATCATAACCTTTGATCAGACAAACTACACGTTCAACGGGAAGGGCGAGTATGTGTTGGTGCATACGGACAACCCGGTGCACAAACTGGACATCCACGCCCGCTTTGAGCAGATACCCAACATGAATGGCACACACCTAACGGCAGTGGCCGTTAGGGACAACGTGTCGGCTATTGTTGAGTTTAGGTATGATTTGTGTCACAAATATAGCTTATTATGACTTATCTATTGGTATAAATTGGTGGACAGATTGAGACCCCCGGCCGCCCGTTGGTTCCATCAGATCTTTCTGATCGCCGATAAGGAGTACCTGTTTTATTGGGCCGACAATATGCGGTCCATACACGCCAGGGGTGTGACGGTGTACGAGCCCGCGGGCATCAGGAATATGTCTCACATGATAGCTATGTTTGATTCCGGGGCGGGGGTTGAGGTGATGGTCAGTCCCGCGGGTTCCCTTATATTACACGTATATTTGCCCAACACTTTCAAGAATAACACGAAAGGACTGTTAGGTTTACTCTGAGACCTAATACTATAATCTATTTACGGTTTAATAAAACTTATGTTCAATTGATAGGCAAGTGGTCGGGCAGTTCGGACGACGACTTTGAATTACCGGACGGCACGAGGGGTCCGCCCCCTCTGTCGCCCACACGACTCATCCATTCAGAGTTCGGACAGAAGTACCGACTGTTTGAGACCCGACAGCAATACCTACCGCAGAGTCTATTCTTCCACGACGTGGTCTCCCATTCACATTACGATGACTTCCGGTTTGAGCCCAAGTTTGAGTTCACTCAGGAGGATAGGGATCAATTTCCGGACGTGGATCATGTGTGTAGTGACTCCCAGTCCTGCGCATACGACTATATGGTCACCGGAGACAGTGGTTATGGGGAACAGACCAAGAAGTCGGAGGCCATGGCCAACAATATGCATCAGGAGGTCAGCCAACAGGTAAGACCAACTTCCAAGACATGTGCACCCAGTTATCAAAAGGTTTATTTCAACTCTGCTTTTAAACAGTACTATACATTGTATACAATCATGAAAGCAGAGGTGAAGCGTACCTTTTGATCACTTTGTCCACAGGAATAGTCTCCACTGATTTTGATGGCAAACCAATTGTCACCAAAAGGTGATCCGATGCCCAGCCCTATCGAAACCAATGAATGGTCGTAAGACAGAGAACCGGTACTGGCCCGGGACTATAGTCAGGTTTGCCTGCGATGAGGGCTACCGTTTGGTGGGCTATGAGGTGAGGCGGTGTCGTGAAGACGGCCTGTGGTCGTGGGGAGTGGACCCCCAGTGCATAAAAGTGATGACCTATTCGCTGATACTGTCCGGGGTGTTCGTGGGCTGTATCATACCGGCGCTCGTTATGATGGGTCTGTTTGTGTACTGTTGGCGTAGGGGTAAGGAAAGGAGGGGTGGGTTTGTGCCGCGGAGACCAGCGCCGGCATTGCCGCCAAAGACGTATAAATTAGTTGAAGATAAAAACGGTTTCAACGAAAATGGCGTAAAAATGGCGCCGAAAGCGGATTTAGACAAATCGCTGAAGTCTTTGGTGTCGAGTGATAAGAGTTATGATGTGGACAATGACTTCACTTCAAGTGATGACGAGGAGATCGGCGGTGATGAGGATGTTGTGGTCAGGGATGACGGGTTTGGGGTTATAAAGCAGTTACACAATAATACCCGTCGGTATTCAACCGGTTTTAAGACTAAGGCTGAGATTAATGTGAATAATGGCTCGCATTTGACATCTTATAGATCCGACACTTTGGTCTAAATTGGGATCAAATTAAAGATTTTT